GGGATGCACGTGGGGAGGGGGGGGGTTGTAGGTCTATTTACTGAGAGAATGCAATCTTTCTGAGCAACATTATCCTCTGCATAAAGCTTCCAAATCATATATCCGCCTGAAGGCATTTGCAGGGCGGAATCCGCAATTGGTACTAGACATTGCTGATTGTTGCCATGATTATGGGAGAACCTTGTGTGGCAATTAGCTTCTTCCGTTAAATCTTCGACTATTATATTGGGTAGGTAATTGGTAGCTTCGTTATTGAATGTGATCCATTTAAGCAAACTGACTTTGGAGTGGATATGGCTACAACTAAATCCAAGAACCCACTTGGCACGATCCCAGTCGATGTTAATGTTGTTCTTAATTCTCGTCTGAGGGTCAAAGTAAGCATCGGCGTTATGAGGGTCATCGAATCCTGACGTTTTTATGGATGGTCTCGGAAGCAGGGTATCACAAAGCGCTAAGGGATCTCCGTCCTTGAAGTAACTGGGATGTGATGGGGGAGTGCCCTCGTTGATATGTGGATGATGATGCAGGAGGACGGTATCTTCCTCTTCTGCATTCAAATGGCATAAGTGACTTCCCACGTGGTGATCTACAACATGGTGGTTCGACGGCGCACCTGATTTCACACGTTCTGCCAAGCATCGAAAAGTCTGCATAGTGCAACGAGCTCCGGTAAATCTAATATTACCATAAATCCAAGTACTCCCATTACTCTTACAGAACCGTTTGTTCCCCTTAAACATTTCAATATTAGTCCCAGTCCTCTCGGCTCCTTTACGACTCCATACCTCAAGACGATGCAAATTCAGCGACCTTAGAAGGTGCAATACACATATACCCTCATAAGTCGTTTCAGTAATATAAGATAACTCTGGTCTCAAATTTAATGGGCACCGCTCGTCATAAAATACGAGGAAACATTTAACTCCGCTATATCCGGGACTTGTCATTCCGACATCATGTTGTAATTCATGGTTTAAGTAGACGTATCTAATGGAGTTGGTAATTGATAGTAACGGCTGCAACGCGCTCAGCAAATCCATGTGCTTTCAAAAATTGCACGATGAGAAAAATGACTCAGTCGTCGGACTCGTCGTTGTTCTAAATGGGTTAGGTACTTAACAGGCTTGATGCTCAATGGGCTTGGGCCTGATCGTGAACCTGATGAGTTTACGGTTATGGAACCTTATGGTTATGGAACCTTATGGTTATGGAACCTTATGGTTATGGAACCTTATGGTTATGGAACCTTATGGTTATGGAACCTTATGGTTATGGAACCTTATGGTTATGTGGGGTGTTGGTTATAGGACATTCCAGCTGTTAAAAAGGTTTGGTAAAATGGAGTCCTGTGGATGGACAGAATAGCGCTAGTTGTTCGGGTGTGCCTAGAAACTCACAGGCGGGGCTTCCAGTGATTTGTCTGTCGGTGGACCTGCCGAGTACGAGTCTATTGTCTCCGCTTTCAAGTCGGGCATGGTAAAGTGTGTGGTTGCTGAGTATGTAGACTCTTTGGAGATTGCAGACACAGACGCCGATATCTTTGGTAACGATGCCTCTGAAATGGATGGGGAACGGTGAAGGGTGGACTTCGCGGAAGTCGATATGGTCGACAAGCATGATGGCGCAAAGGCCGCCGGTTCGGGTAATTGCTTCATAACTCATAAGAAGTAAGTAACCCCAATTGTACATCACGACCTTGTCGATATCCCAAATGTTCAGACCATGCTCGTCCAACCAGGTCATTTCGGCGGCCCTCAAAACAGGCACCAGCGACGGCTCTGGATGCAGGCAACTCCATAACCGATAATGCTTCTTTGGAGAACAGATCGAGTTTTTGGACCGGAACCAGGAAGGCCGCTCGTGCTCGCCGAGCACATCGGACACACAAACGAAGCCGGAGAGTCCATCAACACTTCATTAAACGTGTACGGCTCCTCTTTCAACCCGTCTGAACGTACAGACATGGCCACCGTGCTCGACAACTCGATCGAAAACCGCCAACTTGGAACCTCCCCCTCTCGACAACCACCCTCTTCACGCCCACTGTTTTCGCGCCCATTGTTCTCGCGACCCGAATCGTTAAACGAATAGCTACTCCGCTTGTGCATCGGCCCTATTGCCACCGACGAAGAAGACGATGAAACCTTTCGCTCGGATTTCACAAAGTAACAAAGCGGGAACCCGGCCTGACTGTTGAGACCCGTCAACTCAAATGGTAGCAAATAGTAGTAACAAATGTGCGTCGTAGACGTTCCCACCGCGGACCCGGACCCGAGTTCGGAGCCGGCTAGCCCAGAGCCGGCCACTGCGGTTTGATAGTCATCTTCACTCTTGAAAGTGGCGTGTCGCGCGTCTGCCGCGTGTCTTGCTTCTGCTGTGTTCTTGGCATCTCCGGTCGCGATGGGTTCGAGCGATTGGCGCGGCACCGATTGGCGCGGCAGCGAGAGTCTGGGCGAGTAGCTCTTGGGGGAAGCAGCGAACGCGTCTCCCGCGTGTGCGACGGCAGATACTTCCCGGGAGAAGGAGGGAGGGCGGCCAGGACGGTCGGGGTCACCATGGTCAGGGTACAGCTGGTCGGGGTAGAGCTGGGTGCCCGACGGGTCGAAGTCGAAGGGATGTTCGGAGAAGTCGGGACCGGCGCCAGCGGAGGCGGAAGATAAGGCCTTCTTGCGCGAGATGCTGGAGCCCAGCCGCTTCATGCCATCCAACAACCCGTTCTCCTTACCCCCCAGGTGGTCCTTACCCCCCAGGTGGTCCTTACCCCCCAGGTGGTCCTTACCCCCCAGGTGGTCCTTACCCCCCAGGTGGTCCTTACCCCCTCCCCCTAAGTGGTCGGATAAATGTTCCCCCCTAATGCGATTCCGACCCAGAGTGTGTGTGCAACCGCCAACGTGTTGACAATGGGGTGCGGCGACCGCATCTCGGGGAAAGGCATCGAAGAGAATGGGCATGGTCAAGTGCACGGCTGTGCGTCCATGCTCTGTCGACAATACCAAGTCGACCGGCGCCTCGGGGTGCGCCACAACCTCGTCCTCACCGCCCTGTCGCACGTACACGACTTCCCGCAACATAGCGCGATAGTGGCTATTGTTTGGTGAGGGACCACTGACCCATTCGAACGGGTGTACAGGGACCCAGTGTAGAGTGCCGCCATTGCCGCCGTTCAGCACGCCAGCACCGTTGTTGCCGCCACTATTACCACCGCCATTATTACCACCGCCGCTGTTGCCACCGCCGCTGTTGGAGTCGGTTACGTTCTCGCGACCAACCGCAGCGAGAGCTTGAGCGGCGAGACCTAGGGAGGGCTCGTGGGAGGTTTTGGAGGGCGAGTAGTTAGCTAGCGGTGTTTTGCAAGAGTAAATCTTGCTGTCCACGACCCAGCGCAATTGTACCAAGTTGAAGTTAGGTAAGATCCAGCCCTTGGGTGTGTATAGGTACTTTGCCGTATGCAAACACATTGGCCGATTCGGCAGTGTGCCTTCCTTGAGTGTGACCTGCCAGTGAAGCAACGCTTCAATCAATTTGGCGTACTCCCGACACATCACCAGCGAGAACACACCCGTATTAAATCGAGCCTGATTGTAACCCGTTAAATACTCCAATAACAGCACAAAGTGCTCCTCCGTTAGTGACGAGTAAATCTTGCAAACCCTATCATCACTGCTCGTAGGAGATGACAACTCCTCTTGCCGATTTATTGCCTCAGATAACCGATTGCTACCTTCCAGTACCTCCAACGGAATCATAGACACCGGCACTTTACAACAATACACATCATTAAAACTACACACCTCAACTATGCACACACACTCCTCAACTATGCACACACACTCCTCGACTCACACACACACTCCTCGACTCACACACACACTTGTCGACGCACATACACACACTTGTCGACGCACACACCGGATGGTTTACCTGGCGGTCATGTGCAGCATTTTATGGATGGTTCAAGTGCAACTGACGGGATTCATGAATACTGGCAGGTCGGTTACTAGAAAGTCAGGGTCTCCTTGTTACTGCCTGTATGCTTCACGACCACTGTTTCATTTATGTCATTTANATCCAATAGGTCGTCTTGATCGCTATCAGTCATCAGGCCTGGCCCGAAAAATTNTTTATGACTGACGTGAGCCCTCAGCCAACTGAACAATCAACCGAGCCACAAGGGTTCGACCCGAACAATGT